GTAATGTATTTTTTGGACAGTCAATTTTATAGATTTTCCAGTGCTCATATATTTGCTCGATCCACACTACTTTTTGAATATTTAAATTTTATAATTAAAAGTAAAAATAAATTTCCAGACCATCACAAATATTTTAAGTACTGAAACAACAGCTCTTGATACTATTAGAAGGAGTGTTTTACTTTGATTATCTAGGCCTCAGTCTTCAACAAACCACACTCTTTCAAAAAACCCCAAATTTATATTTTTTATTTTAGAAATTCATCAACACACTAATGAGAGATCATCTATTTACACTTTACTATTCCAACTCCTGATCACATGTCTTTTGATGTTTGAAATTAAATTAAAAGGTATGTGCGGAAAGTTAAATAGTTCTTCTCTTATGGCCATTTGGATAAATTTTCATTTCTATTTTAAAAAATAATGCTTGTTTCTAAATAATGCTTGTTTCTTATAAGGGTGCAGTTGGCATACAGATGCATCCGTAGCTGTAGAGGTAAGGTCCACCTTCAAATTTTATCATGGTATATAATTTTGATGTAAAATGTTCTTAGGATTATCTCAAAATCTATTTTTATATCTAATTATAATATTTTAAAATTTTAAAATGGTCAAAATAAAGTAGATATATAAACATATGAAAATCTTGAAAATGAACGGTGTAAATAACATGTTGTAATATGCACTATTTATGAGACTTAATTTTTTTTTATTTTTCATAGTCATGCATCTCGACGTATCCTTATAAAAACTTTTTCCTTCTTATAAAGGTGACAATAAATAAACTGTTGGTTACTAGGTGGTAGCCAATTTTCAAATGTAAAAATCATAATAAATATCAAAGCGCCTCTCTTGCCTGAGGGAGCAAAGAGATAGTATGCTCTCTACGATATTTACTTATTGATTGTTATAGTGTTTATATTATTAATGTTAGAGAGTTAAAACACCCAAAATAAATCCGTTATTGCCGCCGAAATATGCTTCCTTTAGAGTTAAGACACCTTATTTAACCTCATCTGACCAGCACCCCACATGCGCACGTGCAATCCTAAAGGGTGGACTGGCGGATCACTGCAAAAAAACAAAACTTGTAACATTACCATTACCATTCCTAGCTAAACAACAGAACAAAAATATAGTTTTACCCTTTTTGTGGAATTTAAAAAAAATAAAATTATAACTATTTTGAAATGCCATTTCAAAATCAAGATCCCTGTCCATGTCTGTCCCAATATCACACAAAATGATATCATTGGCACACCTTTCCATATCTATGTCACGTCATAGTCCCAAGAGTACTCATACATAAGAGCCTGTTTGGATGGATCACCGTATGAGTTTTGTGCTATTACCTTTCTATGCTTGTTTATTTTTTATTTTTTTGGGGTAATTCATTGGGGGTGGACAAGCCCCACTCATTTTTTCATATAAGTTAGGGAGTTCGCTTTTTTTAAGATATCAATAACTGGTGTCTGCAGGATTGGAAATTGCAATGTGGTAATTAAGTATATGGGTGCTACCACCACAATTCAACCCCTTTCCGATAATACTATTGTTTGCTTTGTGTGGGAAATGTGGTTGAATAATGCTTATTTGGTATTTAGATAGAGAAAGAACATATATTTCATTGTGTTTTAAATGTCACTAATTTGGATACGGGCCTGCAGATTTAGTTCAGAAATGGGGATTAATTGGCCTGATTATCTTCTGGTATTGAAGGCCCGCTGACTCTCTCTGTTTAACCCGAACCTGATTCCACATGTCAAGTATGTTTTTTCTGTGATCAAAGTTCTAATGCTTTTGTAGCGAACTAAATTCCAAATTGTAAAACAAGCATAATACTCGAAGATTCATGTAGCTGTTTCGCTTGTTTTCCGAATTTAAACTTTTTGTTGGATCGTCAATTCAACTAAACCAGTTCATGTGATTCGGCTGATCCCTATTGATCCAGTGGAGGGTTGATCCACCAAAATGTTATGGGATTTAAAGTCCTTATTATGTTAAAGTCACAAGCCAAAGCCACCCTGAAACCTTCACGTACATGGATGTGTTTATGCAATTGTCAATAGGGGTGACAATGGGCCAACCCAAAACAACCCTGCGAATCAAAGACCTGGCTGCATAATATGGCCCAAGGTTTTGGCAACTGCATCCCAAGGTTTGGTTGGGTCAACCTGGGCCATTGTAAGGTCGTAGGGTGGCCCAACCCTCTATTTATTTTGCTTTTTTATTCTTTTAATCTATTGGGCTGGGGCAACTCTTGGTCCAGCTTGGCTCGGACAAGGCTTGAGCAAAAGGTCTTTCGTTCTTGTCAGAGCCAATGTGGGTTTCAGTGGAACCTATATAAATCTAGGGCGGGCTCTAGCTCCGTTGTTATTATAATTGGATTGGCGAGTCCAACAAGTAAGATCGCTGACCAATACCTCAGATAGTGTAATCAAAAGCAAAGATTGGATTTTAGTACAGAACATTTTACAATTAATGTTTAATAGGTATTGACTAGCTAGATTAGTTTGTTTGATCGATTGGATCAACTAAATAAACTTAGACAACTTTTATTTATAATATATTTTATTGTTTCACACTATAGTTTTGTTTTGTTTTGTTTTGTTTTTTTAAAAAAGCTAGTTTAATTTATTTGACTAATGGTTAGACCAATATTGCCTGATAAAATCTTATATTAGTTTACACGGATAGACACATATATGTTATATAAAAACTATTACATGAACAATTATAGTGATTTTATAAAATATTTCATGGAAATTTATCCAAAAGCATCCAAGTTATAACAATTACCCCTTGTTTTTTATTTAATTATAAAATACTGTAAAACATAGCATAGTCGTAAGTTGAAATAGTTAAAATGAGTAAAATGTCACAGTTAATAATTCAAGTTATTTTAATAAATGAAAAGTTTATACAAGGTTGCAACATTAGTCGTAAAAATAAGGTTGTAGTAATCTACACCGGCTATTTTATTTAAATGGTGTTAGATTGACACTATCTTAAAATACATGCTATATATTGATATTGTATTAAAAAAGTGCCAAATTTATACCGTCCAAATAAAATAAACACTATAGCGCATCACAACCTTATTTTTATAAATAAGGCTGCATTATTAAAAGAAGTGCTATATCATGGTCCTATATTAAAAGATGTGCCAAATCTACGTAGTCAAAAAAAAAAAAAAGAATACTACATACTATTAATCACAACCTTATATAAAGGCCATAATCGTGAGAGAGCGGGAGCCACCGAAACAAGCACATTGTTGGGTGTCTCATTGTCATCACCGTCCATCATTTACATGCATGGCGATGACCTTGTTGCATTGATTCTCCATCGTTAAATTTATAGTTTGCTTCTTATCTTCACGAGAACATCACAAGTACAAACATTTCTATAATAAATTCATGTCTTTGTGTATAGTTTATCTCTCATACTTAATTAAATATCCATGTTTTATATTCTATGCTTAAGTCCAACTTTTTATAGTGAATATTGTTTTCTTAATTTTATTTTTCTATATATATATATATCTAATTAAGCTCAAATTCAGGGCATTCAAACTTCTCGTTATAACCTGAAAAAAATATTTAAAAAATAATCAAATTAAATAAAAATAACTAAATTTCATAACTATCTTCAAATTTTTAGAGGTATTATAGTTATTATATTTATTTTTAATTAAATTTTTACATTATTTATATATGTGAGATCGTGATAACTCCAAAAAATACGAGCTTATTATGAATAGAAAAAAAATATAAAAAATAAAAAATAGAAAACACAACACAAACTCTTGGAAAGCAGGCCTGAGCATAAAGAAAATATTTTTTTGAACTTTATAGTAAAATGAAAATTTTCCTTAGTGCACGGATTCCCCAACAATTTGAACATGAACACGATCTTTTTACCGCTCTCCTACAATTAATAAGAGAGAGAAACAGAGTTTTTAGAGAGAGAAAGTGTTCGTTTGCCATATTTAGGGGGGGTTACGAAACCGCTTCGTAGGGCGGATAGGCAAGCAAGAGCAGAGACATAAAAGAGGCGCCCTTTCCGCCAAATTTTTGACCATCGTCTTCCATCTGGTTGAGCGGGAACTCAAGGAATCTGATTTCTCTTTTTCTCTCTCTAGAATATGATGTCTCCCTCTCTGTAATAATGGTACTCTCTCTCTAGAATATGATGTCTCCCATTCTGTAATAATGGTACTCTCTCTCTATCTATCTCTCTCTCTCTTATTTTTAATCCCCAAGGAATTTCTCTCTCACTCTTTACTGACACGCTAGCTCTCTCCTTCTCTCTGTGAATCTTCTTTATGTTCTTCCTCTCTCTTCCGCCTCTCTGCTCTTTGAATGACCCTCTCTCTCTCTCTCTTGATGTTTGCCTGTTTATTATTTGCGTAATTTGCCGTTTAGGAGGGATTCGAAGTGATTTCTGGTTATACAGGTTTCTCTCTCTATTTCCACTCTTCCAGTTCTCTCTCTCTTCCTGTTATCTGTTTCTCTCTTACTTCTCTCTGGTTTCTGTGTGTGTGTGTTTAATACTCTCCGGTTTACTGTTTGTGTAATTTACGGCTGAGGAGGAATTCTGACTTCTAAGCGATTTCTGGGTATTTAGGTCTCTCTCTTTGTATTTCTCCTCTCTCTCTCTCTCTCTCTAATGGGCTCCTCTGTGTTTACATTCTCTCTGCTATTTCTAATGTTTTCCTTTTCTATTTCTTGTTTATTTACAGTTTAGGAGGAATTATTGAGGGTTTCTGGTTAGCTTCTGCCTAACGGGTTCCACTAAGGTAGGATTGGTAGGGTTCTCTATCTCTATTTTTCTTTCTATATTACTCTCTCTCTCTCTCTCATCCTGACTAGTGTTGGCTCACAGCGTGGGAATTACAGTTTGGAGGAATTCTGAACGATTTTTGTTCGGCTCCTCCAATCCTCATTCTGCATGGGAGGATTGGTAATTATGCTTTCCCCTCTCTCTCTATCTCACGCACACACTAAATTACATGTTTCTATAGTTTGCTTGTTTAGAGACTGTTCCTTTATAATGGAGCTCTCTCTCTCTATAAATATATGTCTTCTCTTCTCAATTTCTATTGTTTTGTTTGTTTAAAATTTGTGCTTTTGTAATGTCTCTGTTTAATTTGGGATTTTATATTTCTATTATTTTGTTTGTTTAGAATTTGTGCCTTTGTAATGCTAGGTCTCTCTCGCCCATCTATTGTTCTCTCTCTCTAACACTTGTCTCTTTAGCATTGAAGTTTTGATGCTTTGGCACTCATGCATTCACAATTTTGAAGGATTTCATAGGCATTTATTGTCAGATATCTGTAAGGGGAGGTTTGGATTAATAGGCGGCATCAAGTTGAGAAATGGTAAGGTTTTAGTTTATTCTACTGCTTCTGTTGCAATTTAGTGTGGAATGTTTCTTCGGTGCAAGAATTAAAGCAGTAAAGTATTTGCTAAAAAAGTGGTCATATTTCGCTAACTTTGATAGACAGTGGTTAGTCTGCTTATAGTCATTGTTATTTAAAATTTGATTGTTAAAACAAGATTTAATAAGAATGAAACAAGAGTTATAGTAAGTTATTACCATGAAAACAGTGTGCATATGTTATGTGGATTTATAGTTTTCAAAGGCTTCATAACCCACTATCCACAAATGTTGTGGTTTCTAAGGAGTATTTCTGTTAACTGTATGAAATAAAGCTTTTGAATTAGTATATCACACAGTTTTGGTTTTATGCCCTTGCTTGAATGAGGCCAATTACGTGTAAATGGCGCATGTTGTAGTTGATTATGGCTTCTTTGTTTAGTTTTATAATAAAGTGGATTTTTTTTTTGAAGGGCTCCAAAATGAATGTTCGGAAGGGAGCAAAAGTTTGGGTCGAAGATCTTGATCTTGCTTGGGTAGAGGCTGAAGTTGTAGATATCACAAATAAACATGTTATTGTTATTACATCTCAACGGAAGAAGGTACGCTTCACATTTTAGGTTTACAACCAGTGTCTTAAAACACAGAGAGTTGACCAAGATAAGTCACCTCAGGACTGATGGTTACTTGGCCTGGGACTTGTCCTAGACAAGTCACCTTGGAATTCCATGTCGACTAGACCCAGGACTTGCCTGAGACAAGTTACCTCGGGACCCTAGTGGATCCCATGAAAATGCCATGAGACTTGCCCGAGTCTTACACTTTTTGGGCCTTTACATGCTTTGCCTTTTGGGGCCTTTATATGCTTTTCCACAATAGACTTGACCGAGTCTCTACAAGATTTAGCCGCGTTGACCCTCTTGACTTGGGCTTGTCCCCCTGGTGAGTCCTTACCCAAATATGGGTTTTAAACATTGGTTCTAAATTTTTTAATGTGCAGTTTTTGTTGGAAGAGGATATATATATAGTCTGGAGAATTTGTTAAGTGTGGAGCAATTAGATGTTATCCTTGGTTGTTCTCTGAATCAAATGATATTTTATAACATTGGAGTTGGTCAAAGTATTGATTTTAATGTTTGTTTTGGTAGTTTAATTTCATGACTCCGAAGCACTGATAAATAAGGAAAGAAAAGAATGAGTTTGAAGTCAGTCTTTCTACATTTTGACGGCTCCCTCTTATTTATCTTTTGTTGGGGACTTCCTGACACAATTATTTATCTTTTATTGGGGACTTCCTGATCCAAATCTGGGTTTTAAGCACTGGTTATAATTTTTTTAATGTTCTGTTTTTGTTGGAAGATGATATATGTAGTCTGGAGAGTTTGCTAAGTGTGGAGCAATTAGATGTTATCCTTGGTTGTTCACTGAATCAAATGATATTTATAACATTTTATGAGTATAAAGCACTGATAAAGAAGGAAAGAAAAAGAATGAGTTTGAAGTCAGTCTTTCTACATTTTGAAGGCTCCCTCTAATTTATCTTTTATTGGGAACTTCTTGACATGATTTTTTATTTTGTAACAAACAATTGCATTAATTATCAACCATTAAGGATTGCAATAATTATATTTTCCTTCTTCTAAATCCAATCCACCCCCTTCGCCGTCCTTCACCCAAAAAAAAAAGAAGTTCCATTCCTTACCTCTCTCCCTTTTGGAAACATTTGCCCGTTACATTCCTATTCCATATGCATTTTTGTAGCTTTCAACATCTTCATCAAAGGTGCATCCAAGAGATCCGGAGGCTGAACATGGTGGGGTTGACGACATGACAAAATTGGCTTATTTGAATGAGCCTGGAGTTCTCTATAACCTTGCAAGACGTTATGCTCTCAATGATATTTATGTGAGTAGTTTGCACATTTGTTGTTTTCTTTTTTTATTTCGTCTTCTTGCCATAAACATTTTGTTCAACAAGTAAATGAAACTTTTAGAGTGGGTGCCATTCTCAAGTTTCGTTGTATTGAGGTATTGAATCTGTTCACTGTCACTTATAAATTAGATTGGAGACTCTGTGATATTCATACTTATAATAAACTAATTTATTTTTGACATATTTATTCTAATTTGTTTCTTCCTTTTTGCTTTTTCTTATTTACTATGCAGACATATACGGGGAGCATCTTGATTGCTGTCAACCCATTTACAAAGCTTCCTCATCTATATAACACTTACATGATGGAACAGTATAAAGGGGCCCCGTTTGGAGAGCTGAATCCACATGTTTTTGCTGTTGCTGATGCATCATACAGGTGTGCTTTCTTGTGGTTTTATGACGGTAAAGGTAATTTAATGATCCTTTTATTATAGGAGTCTTTAACTTGATTTCATGCTTTGATTTTATCCTTCAGAGCCATGGCGAGTGAAGGAAGAAGCCAATCAATATTGGTTAGTGGAGAAAGTGGTGCTGGTAAGACTGAGACAACAAAGCTGATAATGCAATATCTGACTTATGTTGGGGGCCGAGCTGCTGGTGATGACAGAACTGTTGAGCAACAAGTTCTTGAAGTATGACTCTCTTATCTCTTGAATGATCACTTTTGCTTACTGCATTTATCTTTTGATGCATGCTTTTTCTCTAACTTTTTTCATGTTGTGTTCGAATAGTGTTAGGGTGATAGTGATGGTTGATCTCCCTTGGGTTGTAACAATTCATGTTTTGACTTCTCTTTGGCATTTATTATTCTGGACTTGCTTATTGCAGTCAAATCCCCTTCTCGAGGCCTTTGGTAATGCAAGAACTGTTAGAAATGACAATTCGAGGTAAGGTCAGTTGCTTTCTTTATTAGAATCATCTGGAATTTATTTATACATAGTTTTATTTACGGTGCACTCTTCTTTCTCTTGACAAACTTCAATAATTGGTTCCCAGTGACTTATTGAAAGAACCAAAAGTAAACAGAGAGTTGGTATGTTCTCTAGCAGTTGCAAAATTTTAATCTGGCAACATATGATTTTGTGCAAAATATCACAACTTATTCGAAATGATCGTCCACATGACAGAGGTTCCTAGAGGTCTCTCAAAGTATATTGTCGTTTAGTAATCCCAAAATTTGCAATCTATCCTTCATTAAGTGGATCATACTCATTAAATATGCACCCATGACTCTTTAGAGAGCCTTGCCTTTGATAACATAAACAGAACAATAAGTGATTTGCATGCTATTTTTAGTTGTTGTTTGGCATTCTCTTATTGTAGATCCAATTCCAATATTGATTTGCACGTTTTTTTTGCTTGCTTTAAGGTATCTTTATCGGGCTGTAAAATTGTATGGGGGTCTTTGTCAAGTTGATTCTGACCTGTTATTTCCTAGGTCGACCGGGACTTGGAATTGACCAATGTTTTAAAATTCGGCTGCCCAGCTGCCTAGGCGGCTAAATTGCTGCAATGCCTAGGCAGAACTTAGGTGGAGCACCTAGGTGGCTTGCGTCTTGGCACCCTCCTAGGCGCTACAGTCAAGGCGGCTGCCTAGGTGCCGCCTTGATGCTGGTTGCCGAGGGTGGAAAAATGCCTTTGACTAGGGTAAAAATTAGTAATACCCCCCCCCCCACTAAAACCCCCACAACCCAATCCTTGGCTGTCAGAGAGATTAAAACTCCCCAAAAACTTCGAACATATGATTTATCGAAAGATCGATAAATTTTTGATTGTTTCTACTTCTTCCAAAACAAAGGCAATAATTCATTGGTGTTTTTGAAGCTTCTAGTAGTTGACTTTGAGGACTTTTGGCTGCCCAATAGACGAGGTTTGGACCGACATCAATTTGATTTTGATATTGTTAAAGCATTATCCTATTTGAATAAGTGTTATGATTTGTTTTTGCTATAATGTATTATGTTGTGAATTATTTGTCTTTTTCTTTTACGTTTTTTTCGTTTATGATATATTTACATGTTGGTAGTTGAAAAATTGATTTTTTTTTTGTGATTAATTGAATTTTTTTCTGATTTGGATGATGATATTGGGCCCATGTCGAATGATTTTATGAATAGTTGATTCTTTTTTTTGTACAATGTCATGTTTTGATATTCTATTATTTTTGTTTTACTTTAGTTGATAAATTAATAATTTTGTTATATTTTAGTTCTTATTTGAAATTATATACGATTACTTTTTTCAGATTGACATTATATACTCATCGTTTCTCGGGACTAGGGTGTCAATAAAACTATCATCTTATATCTTCATTTAAAACTTATATCGAGTTTCTTGTTATATTATCATTTAAAACTTAAACTGAGTTTCTTATGTTTTTCTTCATTTAAAACTTATATCGAGCATTCATTTAAAACTTAAGGTCCGTTGTTCTGGGCTAGGTGGCCCCCCAAAACGCTTAGGTGCCTGCCTGCGATTTCTTTAACATCGGAATTGATTTACTAGTTTTGGATGGTGGGGTCTAGAGCTGGGCCTGATAATTAGCTGGGTCACTTTGACTTAGTTGAAATTTTCTCTTATAAAAAGTAAATTGGGGTCCTAGTCAGGTTGACCATACCCAGACCTGGAGCTAGCGAAGTTAGCGTCTAGGTGGACTTGGACCTGGACCCTGCTTGGATAGAGCTTAACCCCAACTCACTAGGTACAGGTGGTTGTTCTGGATCTAGACCCTCTTGATTGACACCCTTAGATCTTAGGACTGGGATGGCTTATGCGGTTATTACCTTTCCATCTAGGTTTTTTGAGTCATAGATGCTGGGATGTCCCTTCTTAGGGCTAGTTCAAGGGTAGCAGTTCCTAGGGCTAGGGTATACGAGGAGGGAGCTTCCGTTCAAGGTAGCGTTACCGATCATCTCCCCCCGAGGGGCTGGGGGGGGGAACGTTCCTTTGATAACTTAACCTAGGCGGTGATCCTGCTCTAGAATCTCACTTTTGCTTTTCGGAAAATGGATCTTTAAAGCATATCTATTTTTAAAATTTGGGATCTTGATCTCCATCATAGGAGATCTAGATCCCCACCTTAAAGTCCAAGAAAACAACCAAAATAATGATTTTTAAGACAGTTAGCAATGCAATTATACTTTTAATATAGTTGCATTGCTTGCTGGCTATAAACAAAGAGATCCCTACTTTAAAGAGTATGTATATCCTAGACTATATGCCCTTTAAGTTTAGGAGAAAGATCCCTAAGAGGTTGGTATTGAGATCCGAAAAGGTTGAGATCTGGATACCCAAAAGTTTGGGATCGAGATCCCTAACATTTAGGGGGTCTCGAAACCTTACATATGCATTGTATGAAGAAAGCACCCACAACCACAAGGATTTTCTAGCCTTTTACAAGCCCCTTGCTCTGGATCCCTATCCAGCTGCCAATCCCAACAACTATGATTTGAGTGGAAAGGTTTTCTCATGAAGCTCCCCAATAACTCGTTCGCCTCATGTGGATACATTGGTGATAATCGGCCATCAAATTTCACTAAAATAGGAGGTGGGACTATCTCTAGGTTGTTTTAGCCTAAGGCTTCCCATGAAGAACTCATTTGAGCCATTGTTGTACTATTTGCTTTCTGATGAATCTTTGGTTTCCTTCATGAACTATTTGGTACAAGAACTTCAGACCAGACTGTACTAACACATTTCTACCATGCCAGAACTAAATTGTCAACATTTCTGAGAAGCGCACACGCACACAAAGCCTTTATGTTTTCTTGCTATATAGGATTATTCACAAAAGTTTAAAATCTATCTTTTTTTTACACACTGGGACTGTTTACAAGTTCCATATGGAATTTATTTTATATCATAACTTCTGGTTGTCCCAGCAGAAGTGAGAGCAATTTGAAGCGATGTTTATTTTGATTTAGTGTATCCTGCCGTGTTTGAAACATGTATAATGGGGTCTATAGCAGTAAAAAAGAAACAGAGTTACCTTATTACTTCCTACTCTGATGTCATGGACTATGGGTTTCTAAAGTCCATGGGTTTTTAATTTTAGGATATTTTTCTCTATTGTTCTTTAAGTAATAAGCAGTGCTGGGGGTATTTATTGATTCTACTGTTAAACTAGTTTCACTTTTAATAATGTTCACTGCCCTTCTAAACTCAGGCACCGTTTTCTATGGGAATGATTAATATATGTGCTTTATCTTTTTATTGCTTGCCTATGTTTATTTGTGTTTTTTTTGTGCATGAGTGCACAATGAATTTTCACTTGCTTACTGGATGATACTTTGTTTATTCGTTTCTTACATTCTGTTTATTCTCTCCAGTCGTTTTGGCAAATTTGTTGAGATCCAGTTCGATGCAAGTGGCAGAATATCTGGTGCTGCAATTAGAACTTACCTTTTGGAACGGTCTCGGGTTGTGCAGATCACTGACCCTGAGAGGAATTATCATTGCTTTTATCAACTATGTGCTTCACCGAAGGTATTTATTTGCTGTGAGTGATTTTCCTTGCATTAGTTAGGTTGTCATGATATATGTTGTTTAAGGGAAAGTTGCATGGTGAAAATCAATTGGCATTACTGTTGCTATTTTGCATGCCCGTTCGTTTTTAGAATAGACAAATCTAGTCTTATGAAGTTTATACGAAGTAATTGCCTACTTGATTATGTTGGCAGCTGAAAGGTCAAGTAATGTGTTTTATTGAGAATTAATTTGCAGTTCAGCTTATGTTTACATGCACTCCCTATTTCACGAGTCTTTATCAGTTATAGTCAATACTGTGTTATCTAACATGTAAATGCTCAAGGATTGATGGGCAATTTGTTGATTGGATTTTTCCTGCAATCATAGATGCTGGTTTTATTGTTATGAGATTACAAAAGTCATATATGAACTTTATATGCCATGGAAAGGGATGCCATTTATTTGATAAAGGGATCTGGTTAAAAACAAAAGAAAGGGGGTCCACATCTGTGGAAAGCTATTGAATTGAAAGTGTTCTAGGTGCTCGGTTCCCCCTTCATTAATTACAGGTGGAAGTTTCCAGGCAAGTCCTTCCCAGCATTCATGGCGGACGTAAGACCATGCGAGTGAGGCGGTGCCTACAACGCCAGGGGTTCCTGGCCGTGCAGGTGCTGAGACATCTGCTTCAAGTTTTATGGTGGCCGAGAACAAAAATGGCATAAAAAATAGTATGATTTTCAACAAGATAGTGCTATTTCAGTTTCTGTTTCTTTAAAAGAAAAAGAAATGAAGAAAAAAAACTGGTGTATGCACACTACTAATTTTATGTCAAAAAGTTATACCATTTGTATAGGTGAGGGTGTGTGATTGTTTGTGTGTGTGCGTGCAATGATACACTGTAAGTGTGACATTACATAACCATGCAAAGAATCTAATTGAGAATACATTTTTCCATGTATATTGACAACATCATCAGGGATTCAAATACCACAATACCCTTGCCTAAGGTTGACAATGACCCCATGTCCACACACAAAGTTACTAAAATACATAACTGCATAAAACAATTGAAAATCCAAGTTTAAGTACATATTTATGCCCCAAGAGAGAGATTAGAGAGGCTTGGGGACTGGAATATCACCCTCTAGCCCTTCTTCTTCTTAAAAGGGTGGAAATAACTATTTTAACCTTAACCTTCAGGTAAGGACATTGTCTGCCCTTTGCTGAAGTTGGTTTGAGGCCGCCTAGGCAGAGACCACCTCAGGCAGTCCCACCTAAGGTGTGCTGCCTTAATGTAGGTGGGTGGGTTTGTTCCATCCTGCCTGAAATGGCCAATTGGGTGTAGAGGCTGCTTTTTTGTAATATGCTAGGTGGGAATCTAAGTAACCATTCATATAATGTGTATCAATATCCATAAATATTTTGAAGATACGCAGTGATGTAAGTATTAATTAAAAATTCTTGGATATCGATATATTCATATTTTTGTTCATATGTTCTTTTGCGTATATTTTTTATATTGTATTTATGAGTATGTATTTGTAGTGCTTATGGAAGTTCATCCAAATATAAGGACCTATACATCACTATAAATCTCTAGACATATTAGTCCTTGTACATTTTCTTTTTCTGTTGATAATTCATGAGTAGCTTGTGATTTTTTTTTCCTGTTGATAATTCATGTGTAGCTTGTGATAATGCATGAATTATCAACAGAAAATAAAAATCTCTGGACATATTAGTCCAGGGACTGTTAAATTGTGATTTTTTGGACTGAAAGTACATCACAGGGAGTAAGACCACATGAATATAATTAAAAATCACAATTTAACAGTCCCTAACTAATTTGTCTTGGCTAATCTCTCAATGCTTGCAAATTGAAGTTATGGAGGAGCTTGCCTATACTGGTGTCAATCCTTGACTCTCACTGCCCACCCATAATTATCATTTCAGCTATGCATTTTTTCCTGGAATTTTCCTTGTTTGTGAAATTTCACAATTAATGCTGAAGGTGAATGAATGCCTAAGTTTGCCACATTGAGTATATAGAAGCCCTTTGGTTTGTCCATGCAACGATGAATCCTCTGAATATGGTTTTCTGCCTGCTTGATATTTTTGAATTTTGAATGACTGGAATTTGTATGTCACTTCCACTCTTCAAAAATGTTTCTATGCTTACAATGTTTCGCCTAATGTCTTCAATTTATTTGTGTATGTGATGGAATGATTAATAGTACCTTTGTATTTAGTAAGTAGATTCCTTTGCCTTTTCATCCTCATTGGATTTCCTTTGGAAAGGTGCATGTAATTCATTGCCTGTGTTTTAAATGTAGTGTTTTGATGTTTTCTTCATGCAAATGTGCTATTAATTTTGTTGTTGATATATTATTCATGTCTAAGGACACAGAAAAGTACAAGCTGGGCCCTCCGAATACTTTCCATTACCTAAATCAGAGCAAGACATATGAATTAGAAGGAGTGAGTAGTGCGGAGGAGTACATAAAGACAAGAAGGGCGATGGACATAGTTGGTATAAATTTCGATGATCAGGTGTATATTCTTTCTTCTTAGCTTGCAAATAAAATGAGATTCTGGTTCTTGGGGCCATAAACACTGCCTTCTCGTGCCTGCTTCCTTTTGTTCTAGTGCTTATCCTTTCCATTTATAGGAAGCCATTTTCCGTACGTTGGCGGCTGTTCTTCACCTTGGAAATATTGAATTTTCACCTGGAAGGGAGCATGACTCGTCAACTATTAAGGATCAGAAGTCTAACTTTCATCTTCAAACAGCAGCTAGTTTATTCATGTAAGGAACTTTACATGCACAATATATTGGATGTTCATTTCTTGGATCCTATCCACTCCATTTCTTGGATCCAATTCTTTACTTAAGAGTGACCACTGCATGATTCTTCACTAGTTGGCTTGTCGCTCTGCCATGGTGGCTTACAATCGTGATCATAGGAAATCATGTGATTACCCTTTTCATGTTCCTTCCCAGCTATTAGCTATCAATGAATTTCATTTGTGCACCTAAACCAAGGATTAATAGTCTGGCTAAAATCTCATTTTAATGTTGATGCCTTATTTCTATATATTTCCTGAAACAGTTGGCTGTAGGTTATACGCATAAATCCATTATCGATATAATTGGTTTTCTTTTCATTAGGTGTGATCGTAAACTCTTGGTTGCAACATTATGTACACGCTCAATCCAGACTAGGGAGGGAACCATTGTGAAAGCGTTGGACTGTGCTGCAGCTGTGGCTAGCCGTGATGCCTTGGCAAAAACAGTTTATTCTCGTTTGTTTGATTGGTAAGCATGTTTTTTCTTCTTCATGACTTACATGAATGCCTAACAGTATTTTGAAAGCTTCTCTCTTTTAGGCCAAAGCCCATGCAAACAATGACATGTCCTTATGTTCGACATCTTGGTTTTATTTTTTGTGTGTTGCAGGTTGGTAGAGAAAATTAATAGATCTGTTGGGCAAGATCCGGATTCTAGAATGCAGATAGGAGTGCTGGATATTTATGGTTTTGAATGTTTTAAAAAAAACAGGTTCCTTCTGTGATCTAATTTATACATACAAGCTTGCAATTATCTCTCCTGATTTGTGTGCATCATGTTGTAGTGTTTTCCTTCCGTGGGTTAACTTCTTTTGTGGGTTAACTTACTTTTTTGATATTCTAATAGTTGTGAGTGTAATTTTTACTTGTATTGAGAAACTGGTTTTGCAGCTTCTGGAAGTCACATTAAACCTTGGCAACCAAAACAAGTTTACCTTTGAACATGTAAATGCATCTGTGATGTGTGATTTTTATAAATTGAACTTGGGGCTTCTTGAGCGAATTTAACTCTTGGAACTGTAGTAGCCATCTCTCATAAAGCACATAAACCAGTTGAGTTGTTAGTGATCCTTACAAGCCGAAATTTATGGTGGTTTTGATCGTTCCATTTGGTGTTCTTCAAATTTTTTATTGGTAACTGTTCAGGCTTTTTTTTATTATTTAGAGCTGCTCTTCTTTTTTAATCATTAATGTCACTTTTTTTTTCTCCCCTTTGCATGATAACACAAACTTGGTGCAGTCTGATTAATTGTATTTCTTGACTATGAAGAGCACAGGGATGTTAGTAAAAGCAAGTTCTATGTCTGGGTAGTTGTGTCAATTGCCTCTCTAGTGAAACATATGGACACTCCAACTAACCTCTCTTTGGTGTATCATGATTGGTATCCCTTCATACCAAATGTTTGTTATCTCTAGCTGTTGCTTTTGATCCTATTAATGAGTTAAAAGTATAAAGAAATAAAATTTACTGGTGAAATTTTTGTGTATATAATTTTTTTTTATTGTGGACAATCGGATGCAATGTTCTTATGTTCAGCTGGACCATGAGGGCACCTGGTTGATATCGTATTGGATGTAGATCATGGCATGAATGGACTTTTTAGTCTCTTGTATGCGTTGCTTTTTTGTGTCCAGATTTTTTGATTGGTTATTTCTGTTCTTTCTGTGCACAGTTTTGAGCAGTTCTGCATCAACTTTGCTAATGAGAAGCTTCAGCAGCATTTTAATGAGGTAGGCATGAATGCTCACTTTGCCTTTGTTAGGATGGGGACCTGTTCTCATATTTGCTGAAAATTTCTTTTTATTTTTTATTTTATATTTTTTTCAGCATGTGTTTAAGATGGAGCAGGAAGAGTACAGTAAAGAAGAAATCAACTGGAGCTACATTGAGTTCATAGACAACCAAGATGTTCTGGAATTGATTGAGAAGGTCCATTCTTATGCTCTCCGTCAGGCTTTTTAGTAGAATTGTCTTGTGTGTGTCTGATTTATGCATTTGGTTTATTTACTTTTTTTTTTCTTGGTAGTGTTTGTGATGGGTGTTCAAATGGACTTTGATGGTTGTAGTAAAATACACGATGTTATGGATTTTTTAGTTTTCTATCGTTTGTGTCGGTTGTGCTGGCTGCTAGTTTATCCATCAAATTGCTTGTAATTCCTCGAGCTATTTGACATATGGAAGATTTCTATTCGATATATGTGGCTGCCATTAGCTTGGAATATTGGCTTTATTGAAAATTTGAACTCTTATATTTGACTCATAGCTGTAGGGATCTCCCAGCCTAAGTGTCGATCCCTCTCCAAAATATTACTTTGGGAAAGGATCTTGAAAGGATTTCAATTTTTAAATTTTGGCATCTCAAGCCTCACAATTAGGGATCTAGATCCTCACCTTAATGAGCAAGATAATAACCAAAATGTTGATTTCGAGTAAGATAGCAATGCAACTGTACTTATAATCAGTGTTTTAAAAAGCGCTAGGCGGGCCCTACAAACCATTCAGCGCCTAGGCTGGCGCCCGGCACCTGGGCGGCTCAGTTGAATCCAAATAAGGATTTTGCATTGCAGTTATGTCAGTATCAATTATATGTATTGCATTACATAATTCAAATTATACTACATATTAGCATTTAGCACATACTCTATAAACATCACCATAATCTATAAGTCGGTTCGCACTCCATATCCAATTAAAACTTAAAACCAAATTATCAAACCAAGTTATCAAATAGTATCACACTAGTATTGCAGTACACCACCATGAGGAAGAAAACAAAATTGAATTATGAAACTATGAAAGTAATACTTGAAGACTCAAAAGAATCTTCAATAGTTCAATACACAATATTTCAATCAAAGTTCAAACTTCAAAGTTGAATAATTATTCAACAATCAACATTCATCATTCATTCATCATTAGAAAATCTTGGGTCAGCTGCATTGGCATCATATTCATCGGAGTTGTCACCCTCCTCGACATATTGGTCGTCCCCTAAAAACAAAAAAAAAAGACCCAAATTGCCCCTACTGAAATCAATTTCCGCCCCTGAGCAGCCGCCTAGGGCTGGGCGCCCGCCTAGGCAGGTTCCTTACCCCCTAGGCGGCTGCCCAGGGATTGACCGCCTAGGCCTGGGTGATGTGCTCAGGCCTTTCAGACCGTCTAGGCACTGGGCGGTCCGCTTTTTGAACCATTGCTTATAATATAGTTGCATTGCTTGTTGGCTATAAACAAAGAGAGCCCTGCTTTAAAGAGTAGGTTATAGCCCTAAACTATATAGATTCTTTAGGGTTTGGACAAGATCCCTAGATGAATGGGATTGAGATCCCAAAAGGTTGGGATCGAGATCCCTAACATTTAGGGATCTCGATCCTTTACATATGCATTGTGCGGACAATACTCCCACTTATAGGGATCTGCTAGCTTTTCATGATCCCCCCGAAAGCAGATTATTTTGTTGAGATTACTTTCACACTATGGGTTTGTTTAAATGCTTCTGGTTGCTGATTTTTACTCCATGGAATTTGTTGATATTACACTTGTACCATAGCCACCCAACCTATATACACACATGGGGAGGGAAAATATGTTCTAAAATCTGATTGTTAAATGCTATGGAGAAAATGCTGAATGAAATATCCTCTGAAGAGAAATAGTTTACTGTTGCTCAGAGGTATTGCATGCATTGCAACATGTTTCTTTCTCATGGATCAGTTATTTTGCCTGTATTCTTGTTGAGTGACTGGGTGGTTCCATTCTTGTGACCATCACTTTACTATTTTGCATGGGTCCAATGGATGGGGGAATGGTTAGGTCTAGTGCATTCAGAGTAGGCGTCAGTGTGGTTATGAAGTCAAGGTTTTATTTCATTGATTTGGGACATGTTAGTCGGGAATTCATGCTGGTGGATTGAGATGCTTAGAACTTCTTGGGGGGAAGTGGGGTGTGTTCCACTACGTGATAGAGAGGTGACGAACTTTTAACCCAACAATGGCAAAATATATGCATTTGAATGACATGTCTCTGGAGTTATTTCTTGTATCCTAACCTACATTATTCTCTCTTTCTCTCTCAAATTTGTTTTTCTGTCATGTTTGATTGCATGCTGTTTCCCTTTTCTCACTTCTGCTGGGGCCACTGGTGCTGCATACTCTCCTAAATACAGTTGCAAGCGTATGGGCAGTGTTTTAAAGAACTCACTTTGAGCACCGCTGCCTCAGGATTCTAGGTGATGCCTCGTGACGTTGTAGGGCCTAGGCTTCTCGCTTAGTCTGTGGAGGCCGAGCCCTAGATGGGTGAGCATCACGTACCCATGACCCAACGGCAAAAATTGCCTTTGGGCCATTGGCAAAAAGGTCGAATTCTCCCCATAAGGAGGGGGGTGGGGGTGGGGGACATTGGGTGTATTATAGCCCGCTTCCCCCCCAATTGCTTTGATACATAGGTGTGTGAGAAAACAACTAAAATTGAAAAAATCCAATAACTTTGTAAAATCTTCTCAAATCCAATTTTTTTTGGATAGGATTCATTTTGAAATATCAGAAACATCACAAGAGGAGATTTGGGAGATTTAAAGCGTGGTATTTATTGACACTTGAATTTTGGAAATGCTATGATCTTGGTTCGTTATGGCTGTTGCATCTTGATGGAGGGCAAAATTATACCAGTTTGATGCTGGTAAATTTGAGGGAACGGTAAAACAGCAAGAAACAAAGTCGAACATAAGCACAATTCAAAAAAACCTAGGGTTTCTTTTCCAAACCCCAAGCTAGAGTTCCAAAAGCCTAAGCTTTTATCGCTTTTAATTTCTAAAAATCATATGGATTTGATCCTCTCAAGGCCCCACATACCTCGTATGTTATAATTCAATGTTTTAAAACATTATATTATATATCCATCGGGGCGACCACTCGGCATTCTTCCTTCTGAGAGACAGCATATTGAGCGTTAAGGCAACTCAAAACTATCATTAGTGTTAACGCGAATCGGCTCAATTAAGCTGTGAGTTAGCTTTTCAACAAGACGGCAAGTGGATTGGCCATTGAATGCACATTGATCATTCGATTCGTGTGAGACAAGAACATTACGGCGATTGACAAGCGTGCTATGCGCCAGTGAGCAGATGGAGCGGTAGCGAGTGGCAGCTTTGCGAGTTAGGAAAGTCTTTTGGTTCAAACTAAGGCATGTGCCTCCGCATGAAGTTTGTATTCAGTTTTGAAAGCCAATCAAGCAAGCGAAGAAAACGGGACGATGCGATGCATGTGAGAAAACTACAGGGTAAAAAAGCAAACCAACGAATGCAAACAAGAAAATGGATGCGCTAACGCGCCGCGTTAGCCACAGAGGGAGATGCGCAATGGGTGAAGCAGTAGTGAGCTTTTTCTTTTTGCTTTAGCATAGCAAGCAATAGAGCTCAAAGACAGTATCAAAAGCTTTAGCAGTTGCGTTAGCTCATCTATCGGAGAAAATTGGTCTTGGCTTGGTTAGTAGTGCCTGCCCATTTTGTCTCTTTCGACGAACGGGGACTAAGCAGTGCCTCGACGTGCTGCAGCCCATGCATGCATAGATCAATCGGAGCGTCAACCCGGTCTTTTCTACACGAATGAAGAGTCGACGGGTGAGCTCGACCCTGTTCCTGTGTACACCTCATCAGTCGGATCGAAAAATCCAGTGTCTGCTCAATATCGAAAATTGATTGTATGGCCTGTTTTGACCGCTATTTCGGGACTGAATGTCTCTCACGATAGTCAAAAGTTTCTAGTTGATTCTGGTCCTAAGTTCCTTAGTTGAGTGCCGTCAATCAGTGGGAGTCCTGAACCATTTGTTCTGTCGGTATATGTCGTTTAGGGTCTTTAGTACTGGAGCCACCTCCCCACTTTCTGTTCGTTCAGTCGCCTCACTAACTGTACACCATTAAGTTGGACAATTCCTCCTTCACTTCGTGAACTGCTAACTGAATACTAACTAATGGATGAAGGACCTATATAATTGGGATTTTAGACCACACAACTTGTTGTGAGACGAGAGCAAGGTGGTTGGCTAAGCGGAGTATATCTCTCCATGAACTCCCTTGAATTGATTGATCAATGAAACATTGAGAAATTGGCCCAACGAGAGAAGTGTGTAAGCACTAAACGAGCCAAAGATTGGACTGCATTCACAATCTCAATTTCAAAAGAACTACAAACACACGCAACGAATGGACTATTAGAAACAACCCAACCCTGACAGACAACACTTAAAGGAAAAACCAACACTGAATAAATACTTAATAAGACTTTCTCGATCACAAAAAAGACTCGACATTTGGAGAGATCAGTCGATTGATCGATTAACGTAAATCCAGTGGAAGCACAATGTCTCAAAACCAGAGATACAGGTGGCTTTCTTCTCCCCCCTGTCCTTGATTCTAGATCGGGATGAGTAAGAGGCACAGACAAATCATCGAATCTTTCCTTTCGGTTCCGTCCTTCTCAAATAGGGGACAATCGACTTTTGGAAAGACAAATGTTGGCTTCTTGGGAAGTCGCAGAGAACCCAACCATCGCTACTCGATAAAAACCTCAAGATTGCATACATTACCTCTCAACCAATCTCGTGATCTCAATCCACTTCACCTTCCTGCTTCACTCGCCCAAGTTTTGAATATTAATAAATGGAGCGCATCAGTTGTATTGAGCACCAATTCCTCGAGCACCAATTCTTTTGTTTTACTTTTTCTCCACAAAATAGATGTATGAGAATTTTTTTGTTCCCCCGCCCCTATGTTTCTAAAGTTTCTCACGAGTTCTCAAAGGATTCTTTAGAACTCGATCCAAGAGGGATTCATACTAAGAAGGGGTTTTGGTACTCCAGGAGATATATAAACAGTGTTTCAAAAAGCGCTAGGTGGGTCCTAGGGGGCCTGGGGGTCCAGGCCGCCCAGTACCTAGGCGGGCGCCCAGAACCAGGGCGGCCTAGTCAAATCCAAAAAGGATGTCCATTTGAATAAAAAATGGATATATAGTATAAAAAATAAAAATTAGGTATTTAGGGCACTTACTTTGAGTTTGATTGCTTGATCTTCAAACTTTCACCTCAAAGATGATTCTAAGGACTCAAAATCTTCTAAAAAACCCCCCAATAGATTTATAAAACATAAAAAATTAAATATAATATCAATGGGTGATGTTTTGATCAATTTTTGTCAACTTTGAGAAACCTTCGATTCTAAAAAAATCACCAAAAACTAGTTTTTTGGAAGCTTTCTCTCTCTAAAATGGGCTCCAATAAGTTTTAGGTTTGAAATGAACTTAAAACCATCCTTTCAACTCTTTATATTTTTCAAAAAATCAATACAAAAAAAACATATTTCCGCCTCTGAGCGTGGTGCCCGCCTAGGCGGGTTCTGTACTGCCTAGGCGTGGCGCAAGCCCTGTGCGGCATGCCCAGATTGGCCGCCTAGGCTTGGGCAATGCGTCCAGGCCTTCTGGACTGCCTAGGCACTTGGTGGTTCGTTTTTTGAATCACTGTGTATGAATATGCATGACTACAATGATTAGAATGACCTATATACCCTAACTTAAACTTAAATTTTGTAATGACAGTTTTGTTGTTGTGAACGGTACCAATGAACAACACTTATGAATAGTACTTATGAATAATACTCATGAAATGAATAAAAACTATAAATAAATAAAAAAACTATAAACCATAGAATTCTTAAAAACCTAAAAATCCTAAGAATCATTTCTAAAACTAAAATCAAAGTATGCATCATTTATAATTGAGAAGAACTTAAAACTATGTATAATTTTGCCCTCTTATCACGTCTTAAATTTACTTATTTAGATTTGTGAAATGTGGTTGAATATTAACCTATTTACTTTCAAACTTTGGGATTGTCTTTTTCAAAATTTTGATTTTGATTTCAATTGATTAATCGTCTACACACACATGCATGCGTTTGCGTGTTATATATGCATACATATGCATATATTACTAAAATATTATAATAGATAGGCATATATGTACCATGGGAACTGCAAATACACTCGTGTGTGTGGAGCTGGTCGCCTAGGCATGATGTGCCACACCACCTGTGCACTGCCTAGTGCTTTTCTAAACATTGTGTATGGTGACACGTGCCTTGGACAGCACTAAAATAGATCCGCACAGGTGGATACTGAATTACTGTTAATTCATTGTTGTTTGTTTTTGCAGAAGCCTGTGGGAATTATTGCTCTTCTGGATGAAGCTTGGTAGGGATTGTTTCCTTCTTGTTGTTTAAACTTTTTTTTTGGGGGGGCAGGATAGGGTTGGGGGGGTGGGAATCTTTGCTGAGAACTTGTATTTGGTGATTTTTTTAGCATGTTTCCTAAATCGACACATGAAACATTTTCTACCAAGCTTTTCCAGAGCTTTGGGAGGCACCAAAGGTTGGAAAAGCCAAAGTTCTCACAGACTGATTTTACAGTTTCTCACTATGCTGGAAAGGTATGCCGAGTATTCCAGTTTTATGCTTGTAACTTTGCTAAGTTTTATTACAATGTATTGTGTGTTTTTGTCCTGTCTTGGTTGTGCTCTTGAATTCGAATCATAAAGTTGGATTAGAAGTCAGCGAACAAGTTATTTATCTTTTGATCATGCTTCATGAGTTTGTAGGTGATCTATCAAACAGACTCATTTCTGGACAAAAATAGAGACTATGTTGTTGTTGAACATAGCAATCTATTGTCATCATCGAAATGCCCTTTTATAGCTGGCCTCTTCCCTTCATTGCCCGAGGAGTCCTCTAAATCATCTTACAAGTTCTCGTCTGTGGCAACAAGATTTAAGGTAATTGAGTATGCTCCTTGAATCTCAGTTATCTTTATTCAGAATATCTTGTAGACCTCTGTTCATCATGATTAACTTTAAATTTTCCTGGCATAAAATGTTACATATACTGCCAGGCATTCGGTTGCCGAACCCATGTTATGAGCTAGTTTCAGTAACTGTACTTTACAACCCTCTTAATGTACTAATTGAAACATGAAATATTGTATTTCTGAACATGATGGTTCTCACATAAGTAAACTAAAGGGATGCCTATGTTACTTGATTGGGGGAAATCTATGTCACATCAAAAAATGGTTTTTCAGGAGTTCTTATTGAAAACTATGTGGGACTTCTCATGATACTCCAGCCAAAGAACTCTAATAGAGATTGCACAATCCAGGACACAAATATGCTTTCTAGGACTTTTTATTGTAAGCTGCTTTTTATATTTTGTTTTCTTCATATGTTACTTTTCTCTTAGTCAATTGTCTTGGTGAGCATGAACATATGGAATGATCTTCCTCCTTCATATTCTAATTCTTTTCTGCAAGTAGCCTAAATGGCACTAGGTCATGTAAATATGGTTGCGGGGATTTCTGGGTCTCTTAGTTGTTTAGATCTTCCGGCCACCATACTTCATGTGTATAAAATTGTTGTTCGTAGGCAGCCGCAACCTTGAGCCTTCTGAGGAAATGGACATTCCTGGACTCCAGCTTTGTGCAACCAAGTGAGAAGACTTTACTGGTTTGGATTTTATCTTGGATATAGTTTCTGGTCTTGGATTTGCCAGATCAGGTCCATGATGCTTTTGACAAATGTCTACCTAATGTTCAGCACTTCAGTCTTACTTTTGGGATTCAGTTTGTGCTTGAAATTTCCGATTTTGGCATCTTGCTGGTGCTCTCAGGCTAGTGCAATGCATAATTTTGGCTGTTCAAGACCCTTTGGTTGGTCATAGAGTTCTTCTACGCTTTAGTTTCATATACTCTTGATTGAAATGGAGAATGTTGTGTGGGGTTCAATGTATCATTTATTGACTATCTAATTTTTGGAGAGATTGGGTTTCCTCCCTGGATATATCTGCAGTTTGTGTGCCTTTCTCTGTGTGAAATCTGTGCTATTCCTAATCACATAGATGGAGTTTTAAACTGACTAGGTTGGGGCTTGATGCACCCGTCTACCTGGTCGGTGATTGGGTGCTTATTCTACATGGGACTAATTTCTTTAACAATGTATAGGAGTAGAGGACTAAGGTGTACCTTTTCTCTTTGCTTATTCCGGGTATTTTATTTCTGTGTTTGAGTTTCATCCGGAGTTGGATAAGCGTCCTTTTGAGTTGTGAGAGCCTTTATCTACATACACATATTAGTACTTACGTCACTTGACAGTCCTAAGGCACACGCAAGTTGGGATTCATTGTATTAAATTTTGGGTGTTATCTGACAATACCCATGGTGGGATGTGGCATTTTGGAGCAAAAAGGCTGTCTAGTTCTGCAGCAAGAGATATGTCTTTTATATGTTTAGCCTGTCACTTTTTTATGGGATGTACAAGTTTGGCTTTGAATTGGACTGCCTGATTAATCCATCTCTAGTGTTTGTTTGATTCCAATGTTTATTTGCCGCATATGTTTAGCCGATTTTAAAGTGTATTGCCGCCAATGAACTGTTGCTACTTATTTGTGTATTTGATCTGTTGAAGCGGGTTTAGTACTTGCATATTATGCTATGCCCTTTGTGCATATTATACTATATTTGGTTTGCATTTTAAACCCGTTTCTGATTTAGGTTGTTCTGCTTTTATTCTTATGAGCTTGACTTACTTGGCCCTGCTCGTCATATGGTCTGTAGGAAGCTTGTTATTTTCATGTGGTTCATGAGGGAATCATGCCTATTTAGTTCTTATCAGTGTTTAAAAAACCGTTATGCCTGCTTAGGGGATGGGATCTGGACCTTGGCAAGTCCACGGCAGAACCTCTGGATTTGCCCCGAGTCTCCTTGTTTTTCTTTTCTTTTGTTAGTTTTTATATAGTCTTGGCTGAGTCAGGTGACTTGAGCTTGGGACCTGAGCAAGTCCTGATCCGACTTCTGGTTTTTAATCACTGGTTCTCATTGTAATATATATATTTTTTTAAATGAGTGATGTTGTCCCTTTCTAAATAAATCTGATTGATATTCTATAACTGAAAAATGAACCTGGGAGATATGTCAGATTAAAGTGTTATTTATTTTGTTCTGGATACTTGACCCTGCATTCTTATTTTCTGTTGACAAGTTTCAGTATTTTTGTTAATAATTTGACTGTGCTTTCTTTGTAGCAACAACTTCAAGCATTGATGGAAACACTCAACTCTACGGAGCCTCATTATATTCGCTGTGTTAAGCCAAACTCATACAACCGTCCTCAGAAATTTGAGAACCCAAGTGTCTTGCATCAGCTGCGTTGTGGGGTCAGTGGGATAGAGAACCATGATGGTTGTGCTTTATTATTTTCTTATGATTTCGAGGCGAATCTTTTTCTCTCACCATTTGAAAAATCTTGTATTGTTTTCTCTTGGTTCATGGCTTCAAATGGAGAAACTGCCAAACTCGGTTTACGAGTATTTGTTATTTTTTTTTTTGTATCTCTTGTTGCCAATTTTTTGTTGAGCTATGGGCTTAATGGACAACTTGTCCTAGTTTGTTTGGTTTTAATTTTTTCTCTTCTAAACCACATGTACTGTACTTGTTCTTTTTTTTAAAGAATAAACATAATTATTAATTAGGAAACATAAAAAGAAATAGAAGTAATTGGATAAGATTTAGAACTATAAGATGGAGTCAGAAAATTAGAGTTGTGGAGCTCAGTATCCTTCCTCTAAGCCAAGTACAAAACGTTAATTTGCTCCAAAGAGGGTCTTAAGACACAGGAAACCCCCCACTAGCTTGGTGAACTTTTCTGTCCTTCTCTTTTAATACGCCAAAAAAGATTTATGCAAACGACTTGAATCCCTAAAGGTTTTGGGACTCTTTTGTGCAGTCATATACCAGGACTGGTTGGTCCAATTCGGATCATGTGAACCTGTTGGTCTAACTGGTTAGATGGGCTTAAGGCTCGTTAGGGCCCTTTTGCTTCATTTTCTTGAATTTTAAATAGAAAAAACACGGGCATGTAACTCGGCTTTGGTTGTAACGTATCTGGCTGAACTGGCCTGTCTGGTTGTTTTTTGTAACATTGCACAACATATGTAGACAAAACAAACACTAAAACATGTTCACCTGCTCTGTTATCGAGAAGGAATAGGGAGGAAGGATAAGAAGGGGAGAATATGACACTTGGGTAGTAGTTAAGTGATAAATTCTATGGACAAAAATAATCAGTACTATGTGTACGGCATGTTCATGTTCTCCCATCTGAACACTTAATTTCTGTCTGTAGAATATTGCCTTACATTGCAGTTATATTTGATCCTCATACTGTAGGATGTGTACTATCTTGATTTATGATATGGTAATCAGAATCAAATACTTTTGATGTTGAAATATTTCTATTGAGCCGGATATTTTTTGCCTCATCATTCTTTTCTCACCTTGGGTATTTGTTTCTCTTGACCTAAATTAGCATAGCAATATAGTGAATTAATTACATTATTCTCTTAAGAATTATCGTTTGGAGTTTTCTCACTTTCTAAGGCTAATTGTTTACAGGGTGTTTTAGAAGCTGTTCGAATAAGCCTTGCTGGCTACCCCACTCGAAGAACGTATGTGGAGTTTTTAGACCGTTTTGGACTTATAGCGCCTGAGCTTGTTGATGGAAGGTGGATCTCAGATATCTGTGTTTATGATTCTAGGCGATGTGTTTCATTTGTATTGTCCAATATTTACATAATTATTAAGTGAATAATCCATATATCTGCTTTTGAAAAATACTAGCCTTCCCTCAACCTCACTCGCAGAAATTATTGTCAACCTCACCTGCAGTATTATTGCAATTTGCTAATTATTCATCTGCTTACTTACATATATTAGAATATTTTTTTGTTGTTCTTTATTACTATTAATTTATGTGCTTTGGCTTGTCCATCTATCTGATTTCTTCTGTTTTTTTGTTGCAACAGTCCTGATGAACAGACTGCAACAGGAAGGCTTCTTGACAAGCTGAAACTTGAAAATTACCAAGTGCGGTTATGAATGGTGTTAAATTTTTTTGCTTGTGTTTCTTTTTTTCCATGTTGAACTTTCTTTTACATATCCCCTCTTCTATTCGTATTAATCTTTGATATGGACTTCCCATAGTTATAGCAAATCCCTTTCGGTAAGAGGTTTATATCCTGGCATATGGACATTTTTTTTTTTCATCTTCTTTTTGTGTTTTTGGGTGAGTAAGCGGGGAGAGGGCCCCTACTACCCTTGATAGGAATTGAGCCTAGAAGCAAATCGTCGAGCGCTAACCAATTAAGCACAGGCTCTTTTCCTAACATTTTTTTTCATCTTTCTTATTGCTGAAATTTTATTCCTATGAATTATTCACTGGCGAATTACAAAAATTGGCAGTTGGGCAAGAACAAGGTATTCCTTAGGGCTGGTCAGATTGCTGTTCTGGATGCACTGCGAGCTGAAGTTTTGGATAATGCAGCAAAAACTATTCAAGGTCGCTATCGGACCTTCATTGCGCGCAGGAGTTATTTATTGACACGTGATGCTGCAATCATGCTTCAAGCATACTGCCGAGGTGATCTTTCCTTCCATGTCCAACTGTCAGGACTTTGCTGGCAAGGATCAAAGTTTGTGATTGTTTCTCTCCTTTTTTTCATCTCAGTCCTCGTTTCTCTACTTTTTTTCATCTCGGTCCTTTATTGTGTAACTGTTAGGTGTAAAAATATTGGTGCTAATCTTAGTAATCATTTCTTTCTTTATTTTGGTGTACTAATTATTCAATGAAAAACTGGAAATTTTATTTTTTATGTTCTTCCGTAAAGCCGGTTGTATACATTTGGAAATGTCTCTCGACACATTCAATCATTGCCCATAAACTCCTCATTCTAGGATTGTGATGCGGGAAGAAAATGTGGGAAATTGAATCCATGATTTTCTTGAACTTTAAGTGAGTAAAATCAACAATAATAGAGAAAGAACATGACTATTAATCAAGCCAAGAGAAGAACTTTCTTCTTTCATAAGATAAAATTCATTTCATAACATCTCCCAAAATATGACATCCAACCTTCTATAAGCCTATGTAACCCTAATTTAACTTGTGACCCAAGTAAAACATTTAAGACTTTAAAATACCCCTAAAACAATACTATAATTCGAAAAATACCACTGTAAACAGTAACATGCAAACAGTAATTGTGAACAATAATGCGTGAACAGTACTATGAATAGTACTTGTGAATAGTAAATAAAAATAAAAACCCTAGAATCTTTAAAAAACTAAAAAACCCTAGAAATAAACCCAAAAACTAAAACTAGACTCAACATCGAAACTACCTTCTTCAACCTTCTTTTTCTTTGTCGGCTCAAATATTATTCGAGGCAAAAATAATTTATTGTGGATCTTGATATGCATATTGAGGAATCATACAACTTTATCACATATAACTTCCATTGAAAATTGTATGGGAAACTGCAGATTCAAATTTTTGTTCTTTGAAGGCTTTCTCCATATCTATTTCATTACTATCTGAAACCAAGGTCACAATTTGCAGATTTTGAGTCAGCCACACTTCCACTGCGCTACTATGCTCCCTAATCTCCTAAATGTTCAACTTCTTTGATATCCTTAAGATCTTTATCTATTTCTTTGTCATAGATCGGTTCACCCACATAATCTTGATCATCATCATAGATTGGATCTTTTACAAGATCTTATTCATCATCTAAGTATGTATCGAAAATTGGTGGCAAATTCCAATCTACAACCTGCTGATTTCGTTATGGCTTACGCCAAAATTAACCTTAATTTCCTTCAAATCATGTAGATCAAATAAATCCCATAATTTATTCTTCCGAACATGAGGTTCTCAACGCGGAGGGCATGCATGGAACATGTGGTTAAAGGCAACTTCATCATTCCCCTCCAACTCTGAGTCAGACTCTTATTCACACCATTCTCCATAAAACCCTCACGATTTGGATCTATCCCCGTAGATTCCTTGTCGTTTAGGGCACATTGTTGCTGGGCCCGCTTGTGCAGCAATAGATCTGTAACCCTCTCTGTCAAGTTGTTGATTTCCATGCGAAGTATGATCGGATCGGCATCCCTACGGCTATGACCTCCATGACAGGCCATTGCAATCTCCAGCCGTCCTCGAACCATGCATCTGATATCACTTGATGCAGGAAGGAAATGTGGGAAATTGAATCCACCATTTTCCTGAACCTTAAAAAAGTAAAATTAGCAATAATATAAAAAGAACATGGCTGTAAATCAAGCCAACAGAAGAACTTTTTTCTCTCATAAAATAAAAATTATTCTCATAACATCTTCCTAAATATGACATCCAACCTTTTATAAGCTTATGAAACCTTAATTTAATTTGACATCCAAGTAAACATTTAAGACTTTAAAATACCCCTAAAACAGTACTTTAATTCCAAAAATACCCCCATGAACAATAATGCGTGAACAGTACCATGAATAGTACTCATGAATAGTAAATAAATAATAGAAATCCTAGAATTCCTAAAAAACTAAAAATCTTTAGAAAAAAACCCTAAAACTAAAACTACAGTATACATAATTGAAATTGAATAGAAATAAAAAATAAGAAGAATTTTGCCCTCCATCAGATTGCTACTGTAAGGTGTTTGGGCAGGTCATCTTTGGAACAAATAGTGTTCTTCTGGGTTGAATGCCATTCTTCGGTTTGAGCTATCAGGATTTAATCAGTGACAACTTTAGGGAGTATCTGCGGGAACTGGAGACGGAGTGGCGAGTAGAGAAGTGGCTTTTTTCTACTAAGAATCATCTAGTGACTGCCTTGGGAATGTTAATCATTGGAGCAGGAGTGTGGCCTAGTGCAAGGTTCCTGCAACTAAGATCAGGAAAATTGTGCAGTAGTTAATTTAACTCAAATTAAATATGACACTAGACAAATATGGTGGCCCCATATTGCTGCTTGTTTTGTTTCAGAAAACTTGCGTAACTTTTCTTTTTTGATAGCTGACTTTGCATTATGATATGAGGAAGAATTGTAAGTGGGGAAAGAAATATTGTTTGCTATTGATATAAATCTTTTGAAAGAGGAATACCCAATATAGGCCTAAGGCATGTCAATTGGAAGCCTCATTAACACTCTTTATGTTCTTGCTAGACATCCAGTGACTTAATAACTTAGGTCTTGGTCATAACACTTGCTACCCTGCAGGGCCCTCCCAGCTCTCTTCTAGGCCATCTGGTTTCTCAGTAATTGAGTCTTTTGCTGGTTGGATGGTGGTTCTGTACAATGGACATACATGAACTGCTTCTGATGTTTTGATGGCTTGAAAATTAAAAGATGAGAAATTTATATTTGTCGTCTCATTTTTCTTCTTTTTATCCTCCCCACTCTTGGCCCTCTCTCTGTCCTTCATGAATGTTGTCTTTTTTTATTTTTTGGGTGAGTTTGAACTGCCACCTCGTCAGATAGCTTGGTTGTCTCACTCTGCTACAGGGCTTGCTTGGTTGGAACCATGGAGTCCTATTGTAAGTCTTTGGAGGAATGTTTTGTGGTCAATACTATGATACTCGTAGAATGAAGGTATGGAGTTGGGTATCCAATTTTCCATCTGGACGGACCCATATGTCCTAACTGCTCAAAAACTATGATCTCTCACATGCCACACAAGGTATGGAGTTGGGTTGGCAACTTTCCATCTGGACGGACCCATATGTCCTTACTGCTCACAAACTATGATCTCCCACATGCCACAAACTTTTATTTGCAGTTGTCCTCGGTGTGCTCTAGGGAGAATTTTTTTTTCGTGGCTATGGATTTTTAGGACAGTGAAACTTCTGACAATGCATGTTATTTTGTTACTTCTCATCTGTGTCTCTACTCATTTGCAGCTGCCTTTCCTTCACATTTAGTTAGGCAATAATTGCAGTATTTTGTCATTTACTACTCTTGGTATCCGAATTTAATATTGAGTATTACCATTATTATGTTATGCTCAAGAAATGAACTATGGTTTATTTCATCTATATCTTTGAAAGAACTGTCAGGGTGACAAATTGTTGGATTGATTATACAAGTTTGCATTTATGTTGTGTCCTTTTATTGCAGGCTGCCTTGCGAGAACGATATATACAATTAAAAGACGGGCTGCTGCAGCTATTTCGATTCAAAAGTATGCTCGCTGCTGGCTACTTAGACGAGCTTACTTGCGAGTACGTTTGGCTGTTCTTCTTATACAAGCCAGCATAAGAGCATCAATTGTCCGTCAAAAGTTCCTTATAAGAAAGGAAGAAAGAGCTGCTACGATGATCCAGGTCAATCTCTTGACCTAATTGTTGGTTGATTGACTTGATGTATCATCTGATGTTTTCATTACACAATTTATGATTTATTATTGTTTCCATCATTTTGTGTCCAGTGATTATTAGTATCCATAGGTCTATTCAAATAAGTTATACTACATGAGACACCGTGTCTTCTTTTCCAGACAAGTGATTGTAACGTTGTATAATATGCCTTTCTAAGGTTTCCTAATGCATGTAATAAGCCTCTTCAGTATTGCGTGTTTCATTCCATGCGCATTTTCAATGCATTCTCCAAAGGGTGGTTACGCATTTGTGGTTCTTAAGTGATAATATGTGCATATCTATATCGTATTAATTTAACGAATTGAATTGCAAAACGTTTTGTTTGTTTAAAATAATGTAATTCTATTATTGAAATAAATGGGTGAATCTTAGAAGCCAGATTTGTATCAATAGCTCCATGTGAGCATGAGTTGGAGCACGATTGCAGCAAAACACATTCTGTTTAGAATTTATTGGAGTTCTGTAGAAAGGGCTGAACAAAATTTACAGACTTGGGGAAAACTACTTTGGCACTATATTACATTTGCAGTTACGATACCTTCCCCACATGAGGGAGACAATGTGTCATTGTTTGTGCCCTTATTTTAATAATTGGTGTTATAACATGCTTTGCAGAGATCTGAACTTTCAAAAGACAAATGTTGTTGACTTGGGTGAATGCAATGGACTCGATCTATATTTTCTGTTTGTGGTAATGATGGTAAATCAAGGGGAGAGTGTTAGACTGTGTAGCTTCACTCACATGGTTGTGCATCTCGTGAATGCAATGGACTCAATCTATATTTTCTGTTTGTGGTAATGATGGTAAATCAAGGGGAGAGTGTTAGACTGTGTAGCTTCACTCACATGGTTGTGCATCTCAACGTAATTGTCTTAGCTATGGATGAAACTGAATGACCTAATGTGGTGGAAACCCTGATATTGCTACATTTGCCATGCTGACCTTCTGGGTAAATTACATACTTGAATTGATGATGCCCATATTTTAAGCATTTTGATATATTGTATTGTCTCCCTATGAAGCGTATTTTAGTAGTAGTTTTATATAAGCATCATTGTATCAACTTACAGGAAGCTTTATTATTTGTTAATAGTTGTTGTTGAACTTACACATGTACTCACCAGTCAACAGCTTATAAGATTTTGTGTGTGCCCACTACCTTTGGAGAGTTATATTCTTCTCCAAAATTATGCAATTCTTATTATGTTGATGCTTAACATGATCGTTTCCTTTCCTTTTAGGCACAATGGCGGATGTGGAAGGCATATTTAGCCTTCCGGCTGTATCGAAATGCATCTATAACCTTCCAATGTGCTCGGAGAAGGGTGCTTGCGAAAAGAGAACTTCGGAGGCTAAAAAGGGTAAATTAAGCTGTTTTTGTATATTTTTGGTGTTTTATGTTGATGTGAAATTATTGTTTAAAATTGAATAGAAAATCCTGTCATCCTGTGAGATGTGAATGTAGGTTTATTGTATCATAGTTGATCCTCTACTGTATCTTTTTGGTGCTTTTGAAATCTCATGAGGCCTTGTCCTGACTAAATAAAATTTGTTTGTTCCATGAATGAGGGCCTCACATTTTGCATATTTTGCAGTTTGTGTTTAATGACTGACACAGCTGTCTAATGAAAGTAGAAGGTGCTGGGCATGCTTTTTGTCAGTTGTATTTAAGTTAGGTTTCTTGGCATACTTGAAGTTATGTTGTAATGGTGCTAGTTCCTTGTGTGCTTTTGCATCCTACGTAGTTCAGGGGGCTTTGCTTGTGCAGAATTCATGGCATATGATAAAAGGTTGTCACTCTCAGATGATTGATATTCTTGATTATATTGTATTTAGGGCTGCCAAACTGCCGGTACGGCCCTTGGGCCTCTGGGCTGGGCCTGGCTTCGAGCCATGTTCTGGTCACAATCTAAGGGCTGTGCCTTGGGTGCGGGGTCAGGCTGGGTGCAAGCTAGCCTGAGCGTAATCCAAAAACATGATAGACTATGTCCATATTATAGTCTACTGTCCATACTTTGAAAGTCCATACCCCATGCTATTAACCAGTGTTCCGGGAATCGATTCGGGCTAGGTACTTGTCAATGGATTGAGGTGAGTTAACTCAGGTGAGTCCAAGTGGACTTGCCCCCAGTCCAGCTCAATATGATCAAGGCTGGAGAAAAAAGCAGAAAAAAGGGGAAACAAATTAGAAATATCGACATTAGTACTACAGATGAAAATTTCCTCAAAATATATATTTAATGGCGCCAAAAAACTGTTGGAAATGGAAAAATACTTTTTTTGAGAAAAAATAAAAGTGAAATTTCAAGCTCAAAATCTCATTTTCTATCCATTAATCAAATAAATTAATATGGGTTGTTGAAGGGTTGAATCACGATCAAATGGAACCAAGTTTCAACAGATTTGGTGAAAAAATGGGGGAGAAATCAATGGAAAGGTGGATAGTTTATGGTTTGTTCTGAAGTTTCTTGAGAACTGAGACTTTTCGAGCCAGATATTTTCATATCTAGCCTTTGGTCCAACAAATAAGTATACAGATGTCGTAGAGGGATGAATCAAGAAGAAATCACATCAAAGTTTCAATGGATATGAATGAAAAATGAAAGAAAAAACCATGTTTAGGTGGATTGGTTCAAAATACAGTTATGTTTTCACCAAAAAAGTCAATATATAAATCCCTAAATGACTAGTTTTGATCCAAATCATTTGAAGATAGATTGCTTTGAATGAAGTAAAGGATATGGCATGGGGTTAGCAGTAAAAATTTGATCAAATTTTTGTCGAAAGTTTTTGAGAAACAACAACTACAGTTGCAACCTGGCGCAGTCCTAGTAGCTTGGATTAGCAAAGAGGAAGATAGCAAAGATCCAAAACTGAGGAAGATATAGAGAAAGATGCAAAACCAGAGATAAAAGGAGGAGCACTAGCTGCTCTAGGGTTTTGAATAAAGTCCATAACAAGATGCTTCATTATTCTTGAGTACAACCCTTTATATAAGAAAGCCCTAAACAATACTTAATCCTGGTAATCTATCTAATCTGATCATGGCCATTCATTATAAAGACTTTAAGTGAATAGAAAGACATAAAAGATTAAAGACTTAGAAATTACTACTTATGATCCTAAGGGAATAAAATGACTCAAGAAATAAATAAAAGATATAAAAGGATAGATTCAATGACTATTTTTGCCGTTCAACGGTTCCTCTTGTAAACTTCAAGCTTGTCTCTCTTATATAGATATTTGAAAGCATTATCTGGGCTGCATCAACACCTCTCTGTGTACACAAAACTCAGGACAAAGGCTGAGTAACTCGGTCGAGTCCGAGTGGACTCCTCCGAGTCTTGGAACATTGCTATTGTGTATAGTTGATATACTATAAGCAATGCTATTGTCTGTATTCCATATACATAGAACTGCAGGTCAGTGCCAGATTTGGTCGAGCACCAGGAGGCCTCGTTAGCAGCCCTATATTTATTTCATACTATTCGCCAAGATGACTGAATAGCTTGGATACATGGAAGCCCAGGTTCCTTTATCAATGGATGTCCAAATTTGGTTTATGACAATAATTGGATTGAGCTCTTTTTGCTTCCTTTCTTTCATTTCACATTCTTCTAACTTGTCAAATTTGTTAATCACCTCTTAAGTTTGTCAAACAACTGGAAGTTAAATCTAGTTATGAATGCTGGAATCATCTGCATAAAGTACCATCAAGTTCTGAATTGGAACCCAACCCTTCTAATCAGAGTTTGAACATGAACTCAAAGCTAAATGATGAACTCGAATTTAATCCTTCACTGAGACCCTGTTAATGGGCCTTTTAACCGACAATCTATTTAAATTCCGGGTCTTTACAGTTATTCAAATAGTTCTTACTCTTAATATATTACACTCTCTGTAAATATCCAATATGGGCACTCGATCCTCCTGAGTTGTCATTGTGACTTGGAACTTCTATTATTCAAGCCTGTCAAGAGAGAAGATTTGAAAGCAGCATTGTAAGTCCTGGGTGAAAACTCACTCTGACATAATTTATAATGACCAAACGGATGGTCGACTATGCTATACAAAGCCTATATTCATCATGATTTAGTTATGGTTCTTAAATACTGTATCTTTCGTGATTAATTTGTCAGGAAGCAAATGAAGCTGGGGCATTACGTGAAGCCAAAAATAAGCTTCAAAAGAACTTGGAGGATCTCACTTGGCGCCTGAAACTGGAGAAGAGACTGCGGGTGGGAACTTTTAGCTTTGGTTTTTGTTCTCAATTTATTTCTCTTTGCTATTTCATTTGCATGGTCGCTTTCCAAAATATCTTGTTGCATCTGTTCTTCTGTAGTGGTAGGCTTCAGTCAGTACATTTATTTTTTTGTACGAATTTCATATACTGAGAGAGTGCCAATTTTTTTGAGAATTTATTTGACATGGATGACATATGTTTTTACTTTATGCTTTCCTATCTTGTTTATTGGTATGCTGCTCATGATAACATCTCATCACTACTATCATTAATTTGGAGAACAGACATCTGTTGAGGACACAAAAGCAGCGGAGGTCACTAAGCTTCAGAATGCATTGTGTGGATTGCAAAGTGAGCTCGATTCTGCCAAATTGGTTTCTCTTACAGAGCGTAAGCAGAACTCACTGCTTCAAAGCCAGCTGGAGCTCTTGACTAAAGAGAAATTAACTCTGGAGAATAAACTTGGTAAAATGGAAGAACTGGCAAGGAGAACCATATTTTAAAGGTGAAACATCAACGACTAGTCTTCATGATTTTGCTTGGTATTCTATTTGTTGTTGGCACATTGAATGTCATATGTTATTTATATGGAGTTGGGATTAAGTTAATCACTTAAAATAGTACAGACCCATTGTGGCAACTGAAACTTATGTATTACATGTTATTGGTACTTGAACCTATCCCCTGGATTTTAGTGATCCCTATTGTGACACAAAAGTAAGCTGACCTTTCATAGTTGGCATTTTTGAATCCATCATGCGTGTTGTCTTATGCTTGCTTTGAGGTTTCCTTGCCAATTTCAACCAGCTTGTTCACTCAATTGCATTTGGATGATTGCTGGGGATTTGCAAGATCACTGTGTATGATCTTAATGAAATGCTTTCCATTCCTATTCTATGGCCATGTTGTTGAACTGAAATGATATTGTTCTTCATGAATGATTTGGTGGAAAGTATGAAATTGAAACTTGTGCCCTTTTCTATTATTAAAGTTGGAACTTAGACTGGTATTCGTGTCGATGGGTAATCCAATGATTTTTATCATCTGTTTTCACCATATCTGCTACATTGTGGAATTATTTCTATATTAGTGGATAAAATGTCATTTTCTGTTAGTGATCATAATTTTGCCTCTTAATCTCATTTGGCTTGGACTTCCTCAACAGGTTTCCATAGACTCCCTTCAAAAGACGGCCAAGACAATGCAGCAAGAACTCCTGAAGGCTCAAAAAGAGAGCGAAGCCAAAATACATAAATTGCAGGAAGTTGAAGCAAAGTATATGCAGCTTCAGCAAAATCTTCATAGGTATTGCTTCACTGTGTAAATTGGTCCCTCTTAACTCTCTGTGAATGGTTTCATTCTTTTATGGCTTTGCATAAAGGATACGGATATAGATGTCACATATTTTTTTTATTTTTTCTTTATAAAACTGTACCAGTGACATCTTTTGCAGTATGCTATATACTCTGTCTAGTATCGCACAATGGATACAATGTTTTGTGTTACCACAGTGAGTGCTTGCGGTTTCTGAATGCCTTACTTTTTCTTGGGCTTTGTGGTCCATTCTTTTTCCATATATTTCTTTTAGCTTTCTATGAAAGCTTGAATTTTGTTTTAATGTTTTCTAGTTTTGAGGAGAAGCTTTCAAATCTGGAGCATGAAAATCAGGTCCTTCGGCAACAGGCTTTGGCAGTATCTCCTACAAGCAATCTTACGGGCCATTCGAAACCTTTACTTGAGGTCATATATAATGATGATTTTTTTTTTTTTTGAACGTTAACTGTTAGTTGTGTATTAGCAAATTTTGAACCGTTAGTAGTTTGCGAAAGGGGCTAGTATTGGTAAGAATGAAAATCGAAACCGGTAGCTGAGTCACAAGTCATGCTACCACCTTGACCTCAACCCCGTTCCTTCTAGTGTCCATTATTTGTTTCTCATATTGTTATTAGTTTGTAATATGTGAGGATGAGGTTATGTTATTTCATTATTTGTCTCGTGAATATTTAGTTGTTTCTGGAATTCCTTCTTTGTGGGGATTCTTTAGTGCTTTCTTTCTCCTACTTGTTAGCATATCATAGGGTTGCTTCCTTCTAAGAATGCATGTGTTGTGTTATGCAACAGAAATTCTCTGATGGGCATTTGCTTCCCCACATGAACCAGATGTCCCTCTTTGTAAGTTGTTCTTTCTATTTCAATTTCTTGCAGTAAATTTAAATTGTTTTCAGCAAAATAACCAGGTAAAACTTTTTTCTACAGGAATCACCTATACCTTCAAAAGTGGTCAAAAGCATCACCCATTCTCTGTCAGAATCACGTCGTTCTAAAATCACTGCAGAGCGGCACCAGGTGACATTTTGTAGTTGATCCTCTAATGCATTGCAACACTATGATGTTGACTTTTGAACTTTAGATAGTTCATTGATTGTTCTTACTTGATGAAAATTTTGTTCTTTCCAGTATTCACGATGTATAGAATTTTCATACTTAAGGAATAGGTTTCCGATACTTGCAGGGCAATCATGAATTTCTTCTGAAGTGCATTACAGAAGATTTGGGGTTCACAAATGGTAAACCAGTTGCTGCTTGTATCATATACAAATCGCTTCTCCATTGGCATGCCTTTGAGGCAGAAAGGACCACGATTTTCGACTTTGTGATTGAGGGTATTAATAATCTTCTCGAGGTAATGTTGGTGACTAAAGTTTCACCTGCTCTATCTCTCTGTATTAAACCTTTGTTCTATATGAATGTGTACAAATTAAACTGTCAAATGTGGATGGCGAGGTTTTGTGCTTACAATAAAGTTAATCATGATTTTACCGAGTTGCTTGCTGATATCACTTGTTCTAGTACTTGTGGCACTTCCTCTATTTGTCACTTCTAGCTTCTGTTTTGCGTTGGCTGGTAAGGATTTGCAAATAACTCATTTTAATTGCTTGTCTTTCAGGGAGGTGACCAAGCAAAGATTCTTCCGTATTGGCTGTCCAATGCCTCAACGCTTTTGTGCCTTCTACAGCGAAACCTAAGGTCCAATGGATATCTTGGAACTCCTCAGCGACGGGGACTGATTGGAAGAGTGGCACATGTGAGTTTGTTATATATTACAACTGTATAGCTTAGTGTTTTAAAATGTGGAATGCAGATTTGTGCGGTCAAGCGTCTGATGAGGCGATTTAGTTTGACACGGTCCCTATAAGTCGCATCACCTCCAATGCATTCAATTAATAAAGAAAATAAGAAAATAAAAGTTCCTAGAAAGAATAATGCATAGAAGAGCATAAATGCGTGATTTATGTGATAGTAGGTATTCTAATTTATTAATTGTCTTTAATTTATTAGTTGTTTAGGTCCCCTGATATCCTGATAAAGAGTAGTAGATGTTATACAAACATCCAAGCTATAACATGTACTTGTGACCAAAAGTATTTCATAGTTCATAGTCACAAGTACATGTTATACAAACATCCAAGCTATAAGTTTAAACTCCAAAGAGGCAAAGATCAAAAGCATATCACATATAGAATTAAAAAGATAAAACTATCTAGTGTCCCAAATCTTAATTCTGAACTCCCAATCGGACAGGTCATATTCTGCATGTGCATCTCCCACATCCAAAGCTGAGGATGTAAAGGCATCATCATCACTTTCATCACCCTCCAAATAATGCCCAAAACTATTTCAAGGGATAGTCCAAGGAATCCCTTAGTTCCTTCAAAAACTTTGGATTCGAGAACAGAATTCCAAGTTTGAGTTTTTTGTTTTAAATCACCTTGAAACCATGTAAAACTGGTTCTAAGGTGCTTTTGGGGGTTATAGCCCCTCCAAAACCCTTTCCTCCCTTTTCGATGGAGAAAATGACGCTTTTGCCTGTGCTCGTGCACATGTTTTCCACCCAAAAGCAGTGGGTGCATATGTGGGCATGTCTCTTTTGATGCAATATGCCTGCATATGTGGGTGATGTGCCACATGTGCGGGTGCATCACCATTTCTCCTACATGTGGTCCGGAGTGTTGCGCTCAAGGTCACATGACACATGTGGCATGGAGTGCATAATTTAAGAACAATGGTATAGCTACAGGTGACTTAGCTTTTATTCATTGTGTTTATTGCTTTGGGATGAATTCAAAATGTCTTTGTCGTGTATTTGCTTCTCGCACTATTACTCACACTGGGGAAAAAACAAATGCATTGGTCTTGGAGCAAAATTTTATCTAGGGCCTTTGTTGATAATTTGAAATGCCATGGATCCTGCAGAACTTATTTATGCATGTTGTTGGATTCACTTTGCATGCCATACTACGATTTATGCATTGGGATTTGACATTGAATCACTAGAGCAAGATCCAATTATTTGGCCTTTTTTTTTTTTTTGTCACAATATTCCACTTTTGGTGCCATAGTTTTCCAGTTGACCTCAGATGGTGGTACACCCAGGACCAGCCACCATGCTTAGGGTGCACATTACCTAAAATGACCTCCATCAAATGTCATGATGTGACCGACCATCTTCCTTTATTTCACCCGATGTGTGCCACAATGCCACTATCATAGCATTTATTCAAATTCTGTATATGCTAATGTTTGCATGTTCATTGTGTGCAATGATACATGTACTTGTTTAGTGGAATTTTGATCTTTTCTTGTATGACCATATGGATTTTTTACTGCATTAGTTTTTTGAGTTTGTTCATTGTTTTAAAATTAGCAGGGTTTGAAATCACCCCTAAGTTCTAGCTCCTCACTTCTTGGTGGAACATTTAGTGATGAGGGTACGCGACATGTTGATGCAAGGTACCCAGCCATACTTTTCAAACAACGACTGACAGCTTGTCTAGAGAAAATTTTCGGTTTGATTCGGGATAACATGAAGAAGGAAATAAACCCATTGTTGACGAACTGTATTCAGGTAATGTTCATACTTATTTATTGATATGATCAATTATTTGGTATTGATGATGGTTATCTATTCGAATATGACGAGTATTATGTAATTTATTTGTTAAGTCTATTTTCTTGTCATTTACTTAAAAAATTATCTTTTTCTTGTGGCAGTGAGTAAATGTATGTGGTAATACTTGTTAGCAATTTGCATTCAGCCATCTCCATTGCAAGAGTACTGGTGCAAATCTTGTTTGTTTTTTAGTTCGTACTGTATTTGTAATCAGTTACAGGCAACTCTGCATGGTTATTTTATTCAAGTTATTAAGTAGAAATATTGTTGCGCACATGCAGTATGTATAATGTTGATGGTCTAAATGTCAAATAAATGTTGGTCATGTGTAATATGAAAGTCTCTACTATTATATATGTTACAGTCTGCATAAATCTATATATTATATTTGTAAAAAGACATCACGATACGGGTTTTATGAATATGCTAGAAAGAAAATCTATCACCATGTCCATTACACTCTATGACAAATGTGCTCTCTCCTTGTCTCTTTCCTGTGGGCCTCAATAATTCATGCACATTATTACACAGGTCTCGTTTGTTTTGTTTAGTGGTTGCATGTGCTGTCCTGCTAATTGCTAATGTTATTGTTGACATGTAATGCTTCTAGCTATAAATTCAAAATAAATCTGATGATCTAAATCTTGTCATAGATTGGGTTTGAAGATATGCTGCTAATGGATCTCTTTGAGGAAAAACAAAGGAATATTTCTAAGCGCTGATTCATGTAATGGCATGAGCTTTTGACAGTGTTAAAAAACGCGGACCGCCCAGCGCCTGGTTGGCCACCTAGGTGGTACGGATCCCGCCTAGGCGGCACCCAGCGCCCAGCCCTGGGCGGCCGCCCAGGGCCTGCGCCTTGCCTAGGGGCAGAATTTTTTTATTATTTGTATTGATTTTTATTGAAATAAAAAGGGTTTGAAGGATGGGTTTTAGTTTCATTTCAAACCTAAACCCACAAGAACCCTTTTTAGAGAGAAAGAAACTTCAAGAAAACTAAGTTTTATGACTTTCATTGGATCGAAGTGTTTCTCAAAGTTACGAAAAACAGATCCAAAGATCACCCAGGTAGATTTGATTTACTTTTGGAGTTTTGTAATTCTATGAGAGGGTGTTTTTTATTATTTTAGCACCAGAAAACATCTCCGAGGTGGGAGTTTGGAGTTCGAGCAATCAAAGTATGTGCAAAAATTTATTTTTAGATTGCTTAATTTATTTTGAGATGTCTTCATCTGGATCTAATCGAAGTGGAGATCCGGGTTGGAAATATGGATATAACCTGAATCCAAATGACAAAAATTGCATTAGATGCAATTTTTGTGAAAAAGATACGAAAGAGGGCATAAACCGGTTTAAGAAACATCTTGTCGGTATTAAGGGAGATGTTGCCCTTTGTAAAAATGTTCCTGAAGTTATCAGAGAGGATGTTAAGCAATATATGAGTTTTGTAAAACAAAAATAGGAACAAATCCTTGTCATTTGAATAGATCTATTTCTGCTACTTTTAGAAGAAGTGATCCGGGTTGGAAGTATGGTTATAGCCCAAAACCAAATGATAAAAATTTTATGAGGTGTAATTTTTGTGAAAAAGTTATCAATAGGGGTAATAACCGATTCAAGAAATACCTTGTTGATATTAAAGGGAATGTTGCTTCTTGTTAAAAGGTTCCTGAAGCTATTCGGGATGAGATTAAACAACTTTTGAATTTAAAAGAACCAGATAATGATAAAAGCGAGTCTTGTTATATGAAAATATCTTCTCCAGGTTCTTTTAGAAGTGGTGATTCGAGTTGGAAGTATGGTTATAACACGAATCCAAATGACAAAAATCTTATTCAATGTAATTATTGTGGAAAGGATACTAATGGGGGCATTTACCTGTTTAAAAAACACCTTGCCGGTATTAAGGGGGATGTTGCCCTGTGTAAAAATGTTCTTGAGGCTACCAGGGAGGAAATTATACAATATTTGAGTTCAAGAAAACACAAAACGAAGAAAAGGGTAGAATAGCCAAGACTCTTAGGACCTCATCTGCACATACTAGCAAGAAAGAGGTAGAAGAAGAGGAAGAAGATGCAGATTCAGAAGAAACAAGGAGGACGAGCGTTATATTGAAGAGGGAGATGACTTTGATGATGATTGCCTCGATTCTGATGCATATGATGAAGCTTTCCCTATTCCTTCTGATGATGATGATGACTGAAGACTCTTGATGTTGAGTGTTGATTGTTGTGTTGAGTCTTGAGTGTTGACTATTGTGTCCTACACTGTATATTTTTTGAATTTCTGTATATTTTTTTCTTCATATTTTTAGTTTTTAGTTCCATTATCTAACTTTTGTGTGTACAGTCTACAGTGTATCAGACTATCAGTGTATGCTTGTGTGGTTTTATTGTTTTAGCATTGTATGAAAATATGGATTATGGTTTTATGGAATATCAAAATTCTCTTATCGATTTCTATCTATTTTTAAAAAACTGGGATTATGGTCGTATGAATTATCAAAATTCTTATGGATTAATCATTATCAGTCATCACACATCAGTTTTTTTTTCTTTTTTTTTTTCAACTAGGCTGCTCAGGTTCTGGGTGCTTGCTTAAGCGACCGCCTAGTTGCTGGGCGGCCTGGACCCCCATTGCCGCCTGGGTGCCGCCTAGCACTTTTTGAACCTATGGGTTTTGAGTTGTTTTGTAAGTTATCCGTAGACCTAATTCAAGGTTTCAAAAAATGCTAGGCGGTCCCTAGGCGGCCTGCCTGGCGCCCAAAGCTAAGGCGGGCACCCAGAACCTTGGGCGCCCTATGGTGCAAATTCTTAGCATTTTTTTATATTTTTGCTATCTAAATGCTCATATATGCCTATATTTGTATCAAATTTTATAATTTATTTGAAAATATCGCAAGTTCGCAACATATGTTTTTATATACAAACATATCACATATCTCAGGTTGAGAATCAAAATTTCAATCCACACAAAACATTTAAAAGTCTAATAGGCTATTGTAAGGTTTCCAACTCTCATATTCTCCATATTCCATATCCATAAAATAAACCATAATAACATCCAAGTCTCCAACTCTCCAAGTTTTCAACAAACTGATTTCCAAAATATAAGAAACCAATAAACCACACAACAAAATAGTCCAAAAAGGCAAAAAAGTATAAACCACATAACAAAATAAATATAGTCCAAATGTCTAAAGCCAAACAATGATGGTGCAATAAAGTTACTACAAAAGAAGAGAGAAGATATCAATAAGAATCAGAATCATCATCTTCATTATTTTCATCTGCATCAGAATTGAGGCCGTCATCATCAGAATCATCACTCTCTTCAACATATTCCTCTTCTTCTAGAGATTCTTCTGAATCTACCTCCTCTTCCTCTATCTCCCTCCGTGAAGTACCTGCAGTAGAAGTTGCTCGAGTGGCCCTCCTAGGATCAGAAGCTTGCTCGAAGCTTCCTCGACCATTTCCCATGTCAAGCCCTCCGCATGGAAGACCTCCTCAGTTCCAGGGTCACTAACTAGCTAATCCGAAGCGTTCTCCAGGTCTTTTGAAGAGATATGATCCTTCTTTGGCTGGTTTTTCTTCTCCTTGAGCTTTTGATTCTATTTAACAAAAACCAAGTCAATGAGCTTCTTTTGCTCAAGCCTATTTCTTCTCTTTGTATGCACCTATAAGGAAAAATGCACAAGTAACTACTATGTGTCTATGATCTTCTTACCTTCTATGAATCTATATTACAAAATGAACTTATAAACAAGAAAAACATATAAAATTGTAAAATAGTAAAATACCATCTCAAACAAACTCCAATTGCGCTCACAATCAGAAGAGGTAGTTGTCAAACTCAATATTCGTATAGTCATCTTCTGGAGGTTTGGAGCGCTACTTCTATGTTGTCTCCACCATTAGGCTACAAAATGTGGGCAACGTTTATAATTTATTTAGGTATTTAACATTATCAGAA